CTTATCAAGTGGTGCTATAGCCAGGAGACAGATCAGCTCAAGGCAAGGTTTTGCTTGGTCAGCTTCCAGAGCTTGTCTTTTTTAAGTGTAGGATAAGCTCTTATCTGTAGAGTGTAAAAACCTCATCTGGAACCATTAAAAAATGTTAACATTGCCCATGTTTCACTATATCTTGCTCTAGTTTTCTCTTACTTTATTTCAAGTCTGTGTTTAAAAACAAAGCCATTCTATGCTTACCTGAGGATTTCAGAATTGCTTAATTAAATTTAATTTCTGTGTAGCTAATTGGTTAAGTTTCAGTACAATGCAGGTTGTAGATCTACTTTTGGTGTAGTGTGTGCTGGGGATGCAGGCACGCTGCAGGGCTGCTAAATTAGCGTAAAATTTGGTATGTCTTAATATCCTTAATTTGGATATTATTAAACAGGTGAACTAACTCACTCTTTTCCAAAGCTGCTATATATATATATTGTGTGTGTCAGGTAGATGTCTTAATTTTGGGCATCTCTGATTTTAGCACAGTTCAAACTCATGAGTTGTTTTTAGTCATGGTAGCTGAGATCTGTCCATTTATAAAAAAATATATTAATGATTCTGTTTTGAACTTTGTCTGTGCTAGGTTTTTAAGTAAAATGGCTCATACTGCAGTGCTTAAATATAAAAGTTCATGGTTTGAATTTTAAGAATTCATATGGAGAAGCCTCCATATGTGATATGAATGTAGTCAAAATAAATCAGACACTATTAGCAGTAATAGCTTTCAAGACTGTTTTGCCAAGCTAAATATCGATCACAGTTTCAGTAATGATAAATATTGAGAGGATGTGGGCATTGTGGCACCTTCTACATTTGATGCCCATGTTGGTTACAGTTGGTTTGAAAAGTAACACAACGCTATTCACACTCTCTCTCCATCCTCTCCCAGATGCTGGCAGTTGGTGCGAGTGGGTGTGCTGACAACACTTTCTTGGGTGGGGAAAAAATGGTATCAAACCATTCAAAACCACTTGGTTTAAGACTGTAAATCAGCATGTTACATCATGTATCCAGTGAGCTAACAGGTGCTCTCTTGTTTGATATTGCATCTGTCAGACACAGCACAGGTACTGGAAATCTGGTTTCAATGTGGTGACTTTCAGCTGTCTGGAACACAATCATAAATGAATCCTCAGTGCTTTGATTTGCTGTTGTCTGTTTTTAAAGAAATACATCTTGCCATATCCATGTCCTTACAGCGGAATCTTCCCAGGGCCCCCCAAAGGCTTATGATACTTCAGCTGAGAGTTCCTGTTATAGGTAATTTTTGTCATGAGATACAACCTTTTGAAATGAACAACTGTGGTGTCGGGAAGTCACCAAAGTTAAAATTTGGCATTGTACTCTACAGCTAAAATATGTATCTTTAAAGTTTTTAATAGTTTCAGAATGGTTCTTTTCTGTAGTATGACTTCATTCATAATGTTTGAGCAGTGCTTTGAAGATCTGAAGATTAAAAGCACCGCTGAACTGCAAGCTTTTTTTTTTTAATTGAGGATTAATGGCCATTAAAATCTGACAAGTGGCTAGGATTATTGACTTGTGTGTTCAGAGGTGTTAGAATATAGAAATGAATTTTCTTTTTTAATTAAACACTAAGTCTAACTGCTAAATTTTCTAATTGAGTGTATAGCCTTACCTGGTTGCCCAGCTGCCTTACTTAAATAACAGTAACAGTTTGGTTGGGTTCCTTGTAATTTCACGTAGCAATGATATAGGGCCTGTAGTGACAGGACAAGGGGTAATGTGTTTAAACTGAAAGCGGGGAGGTTTAGATTAGATATCAGTAAGGAATTCTTAACGGAGAGGGTGGTGAAGCACTGGAACAGGTTGCCCAGAGAAGCTGTGGATGGCCCATCCCTGGAAGTGTTCAAGGCCAGGCTGGATGAGGCTTTGAGCAACCTGGTCTAGTGGAAGGTGTCCCTGCCCTTGGCAGGGGGGTTGGAACTAGATGATCTTTAAGGTCCCTTCCAACCCAAACCATTCTGTGGTTCTATGATTCTATGATATAGCAGAGAAGGGTCTAAGGATATTTAAAACCAATTATAGTTTGTACAAAGAGGCAATATCCCTTAGTAGGTTTATAGGTGAATGGGAATTGTAAATAATGTTTGGAAGGTGAATCAGCATTAGTTGAATGATGGATTATACAGGTGTTCGTTTAGATTTCTTTGGGATGTGCTTTTCTATGTCATTTGGAAAAAATGATTTGTGTTGTGTTACTAGCATTATTTACATGAGCACTTCTTATATTTATCTTCAGACCAATAGGACTATTCTGATTCTGTTCTGATGCTTCATAAACATAACATCTTTTCTGGGAAATGTCTAGATACAAGTTAGTGTTCATTTTTTTGGGGGGGTGTGTGGTTTACTCAATATGAAGTATTGATTTGTACAGTAAAATTGGGAAATGCCATGGCATTATTGTTTGTATACAGAAGCTCTTCCTTCTGTATCTAGACTAGCAAAAAAATGGAAATGACATTTTTGGTTGAAACTGGTCTTATCACTAGAAAAATGGTTCTACTTTATACTTGAAGGTCTGTGTTTAGTACTGAAACACGAGTTCGAGCGTGTTTGCCTCATGGTCATATGGTAGCATTTTGACAGCAGGTTTTTCAATACAAGTTTAAGAGCCTGCTATACTAAAGCCTTGTGTCTGATGCACTAAATAAAACTCCAGAACAAAGAACAAATTCATGTGTCATTGGATGCATTTCTCACTTGTTCATTTATCTTTTTATGAAATGATTTCGGTAGCTAATGTATTTTCCAGTGCAGCCAAAAACCTGAACTTCTGCAGCTTGCTAACGGGTGTGAAATTGAGGGTAGTGAGTTCATGGCCTTCCCTGCTACCTTTCTTAGACTCCGACAGAAAACAAGCGTGCAGGTGGGCCTCAACTGGGGTCTGTAGCTCCCTGGATAATACCTTCTGTGGTCTCCTGTATTGGAGCATTTGGTTAGCATTTAAGAGTTTTGAACTGCTAGTTTTGTCTCCCTGAAAAATCACTGATGCTCTATAACAGCCCATGCTCTTCTCATTTGCTGCTGCATTCTGTGAGCAATTATCATTAGAAATGCTGTGATAAAATTGGCATTGTATCACGGATGCTCCTGGAATGGAATCAAACAGGCAGCCAGGATTTGCAGTGACAGGGACAGTCAGTGTGCATAGAAAACTGAAGGAGCAGATGAGGAGGAAAAATACTGGGAAAGGTGAAGCTTACAAGATTTAAAGATGTTGAGAATAGTTCTATAGTGGGCAGGGAGCATGCCGTGCTCTAATCTGTCTGGGTAGTTATGGATTCCTTGACTGTGGAAGACAGAGCTTATGGCAAATGTATGATAAACCTTAACTTTACACTAAGGGCAAGTTGAATATCATGTATATGCTGGCTCTGTGGTAGAAGACATCCATCTCCTATGTGCACGTGATCTTGAACTGGTGTTTGCTGTACTGCTTTCAGCACTCTTGAATTGTACTTTACTGCCCACGGATCTTAATTCCCTTACTGTTTTCCCATGAAATGAGATTTATATAGCCAAAGTATCTCTCTCTCTCTGTCTCTCTCTGCTCTGTAGACCTGTTTTAATAAATTGGATAAAAAAGTATGGCTTCCAAGGACTTGAGGGAAGGGTGACAGTGTGTATTGGGGGGAAATGGTGTTTGAGAAGCTTCAATGCAAGTGTATCTAGATGCAAAAGAAAGCACAAATGAGTGATATTGTAAGCAAGAAATCACAGGGTGTTAGTCCTGTTTGATACTTATATCCAACTTAGTTAGAAAAAGGTATTTCATATTCTCCCCACACATGCAGGCCATATATGAAGCTCTTGTTTCTCAAGAATTCTTTTCTAGTCACCTTTTTCCCATTTAACCTATATTGTGATGCTTTAATTCATTAATAGTGTTTTTAAAATTGCGCCAAAGTTCTGCTGAACAGCCAAGAAGAAAGCTGGGAACAGATACGTGTTCCTGGGGTGAAAATACGAGCTTAACTTCCACGCCGTCCCCCAAGAATGTTCACTAAATACCACTATTTGTATAAAATCTGTTCTTGCGTGTTGGAGGTGAGATCCATTAGACTAACTTGTTTGCTCACAGACATTAAAGTGATGTTGCTTTAATGACAATGTAGTCATTAGACACTTTCTGTTGTATTTTGCTTGGATCGGTTAGGGTTTGGTGGAAAAAAAACAAAACCACACTGTCTAAAGCATAAGATCTTCAAATTCTGTGTTTGTGGTTAGTGTCTTGTCTTGTTCTGGTTCTTCTTGTTAAGCATCAAGTTTTACTTGTGTAAAGTGTTCCTAGCAAGTGATTTTTTTGAAGACTATTTTTGAGTTTTTCTCTTCATACCGTTCGAATTAACACTATCATCTCATGAGAATTACTCATTGTAGAGTTTGGATTTAGGGAAGGAAGTGAGAATTATATTATTAAAAATGCGATGAGTAATTTTTGTGCCTCTTTTATCATTCATTATTCTTAAATATTCTATGACACATAATTTACAGAAATATAAATTATGTTAACATGTGAAGTAAAACCACAGTGAGATGTAAGTTTGAAATTTGATATATTTTGTGCCTTTAAAAAGTTTCCTACTAGCTTTGGCTGTCACCTCCGTTGTTTTAATAGTTTCCTATGCAATGTTTCCCTGAGGAGGGAGCTTATTGCCCCTGCAAGATAGCTTTTAACAGTTACAGCAACAAGGTAGAGTGAAAAAAATCAATATTTCATTTTAGAAGGGTGTTTCAGAATTTTTTTTTATCCTGTAATATTAGAATGGCCTCCAGTTCTTCAAGCTGTATTAAAATTGCATGTGTTTAAGCTAGTACCTCGCTTGATTTGCAGCTCTAATCTCTGCAACACTTCAGCAGTTTAAAAATTCCAAATATATAGTTTGAGGGCAAAAATACCCATTGCATAATGTGGTTTTCTTGTCTTTGTGTTGTAGGTTGTGTTAAAGATCATTAAACATTACCAGGAAGAAGGACAGGGGAATGAAGTTGTCCAAGGAGTGCTGCTGGGTCTTGTGGTGGATGACAGACTCGAAATCACAAATTGCTTCCCTTTCCCTCAGCATACAGAAGATGATGCAGAATTTGATGAAGGTAATGGTTGCAGTTTTGCAAAACTTTAGGTAAATAAATACAAACCCTTACATGCAAAAAAGGATTAATTTTTTCCCCCCTACAGTGACCAGAAGCTTGTGTGTGATCAGAGTGTTTTTGTTTGCCTTGAGGTATTTTGTTTGCCTTGAGGGTTGCTGTCAACCATCCCGTATATCTAACAGAAATCTTTTCTATGTAAGGATCATATAGGGATAAACGCTGTATTATATGGACATCCTGTGTGGACAGGCTTACTCTAAAATAAGGAAGTCACATCAGTTTCCAGTCTATAATTCATATAGACTTTAAAGCTTTTTATGAAAATGGCTGTGTGTATATATCTGTATGTATATGTACATGTACATAGTCAGGCATATAGATTGCCTTTCTGTGGATTCATTTATATGTGTTAAGCACTCCTTGAAAGCCTGCAGAGCTTTTTAAATTTGAGACAGTGAGTAGCTTGAAATCTGGGTGATATTTTTGCTTTTCCAGTTGTGCTGGGACCAGCGTCAGTGTTTTCTGACTGTCTTGGTGTTTCCTTGCTGGTCCTAGTGATGTTTTCCTGTTGTCACTGTAAGTCAGTACACTTGTCTTGACACAGAATGATATGAAGCTTAAAAAGTAAACTCAAAAGAGTTTACTATTTTAATCTTGGTGTTCTATATATGTGTGTGTATTTAATGATACTAGTTGAAATGTTTATTTGTTAGGGCTTAAAAAGAGTTTAACTTCAGGAGTAGCTAAGGAGGCAATTCAGTCAAAGTAGTTGCGGTTGGGAGCTTGATTCTAACTTTGATAATTCAGTGTGAGTGAGATTACTCAAAGTCTAAACTGCTTTTCCTTGTTTATAATGAGCTCTTAATATTTTATCTTATTAAAAAGAATCTTAGACTCTGCCTTTGAAACAGGGATAATTTTAAGAATTCTTTGCCACTTGGTAACGTTTCTCAGCTGTTTATTGCTTCTGTTGTGGAATTATACAACATACTGTGTGAAAAAAAACTGAAGCAAGACTCAAGGGAATGTAATTGTCCTACATTGATATGGTGCTTGAGTCAGAATTACATTTTAGTAAAGCCAAAAAGAAGTTTTAAAGATTCCATCTCTTCTGGAGCTCTTAAAAGGATTGGAGTAATCTAAATTTTTAATTAGAGCCCACGCTTCAGTTTTCCCTGTAGAAAATGGCTAAATTGTTTCCATGGAGCAGACAGGCAAGCAAGGGGTGAAATGAATTTCTTAGTTTCTGAGATGGGTTCCTCTCACCGTATGATGACTACCATGCTGAAGCTGTAAGCCTGTGATCTTGCATGCAAGGTTCAACTGTTTCTGCTTGGGAGAAACTTCATTCCAAGAAAGTGACTCTTTTTCCCTCTTAGCAAGTAGGCAGTAATCCTGGCATTAAGGTGCAAAAGGCAATGCTTGTGGAGCTTCCCTCACCTGGATGCCTTAGCCTTCTGTCCCCATGCTGCAGGGACAGAGAGAAGAGTGAACTCTAGCCATGGTGGAAAGTGAACCTACCACAGTGACGCTGATGCATGCTCCTAGCACGGATAGGGAGTTTGCAGCCAGGTCAGTGGCGCTTGCCTGTGCTGAAGCCTATACACCAGCCTCAGGAGCCATTCTCTATTGGTTTTCCTCTTCCCTAGCCTCTACCGTATGGGTCACAGAGACATCCTCTCTGTATTCTTCTCACTGAACTAGTGTTAATAGACTGAACCATTCAGGAGACACAGCACTCATGTTAGTTCTGCATTCCCTTTACTTAGGTCCTCTTCAGCCACGTGACCTGTGTGGTAGAGGCTAGGGGAGGTGAAAACCCAAACAAAATGGCTCTTGAGGTTGCCAGCTGAGTGTTAGGTGCCTTTTTAGGCTCTATATAGAGTTGTCTTCTGTCTTGCTAATGTGAAAACGAACAATGTTTTATAAACACTCCTTGTTTGTTTTCCCTGGAGCTATGCAAGCATACTGCTAGGTTTTCAAAAGATTGTTTTTTTGTTCTAGATACAGATACTCCAGCAGAGAAATCTCTTGTGTGTCAGCACCTTAAAATTCAGGATGCTAAAAACCAAACCAAACAAGCCACCTCCCTTCCCCCAAAACTCTTCTGTTACATCAGTAGCATAATTGGTGTTATATATTTGCACAAATTCAGACCCAGAGAGGTGGATGGAAAGTAAATTGGGCTTGTTCAGTCTGGAGAAGAGAAGGCTCCGAGGAGACCTTACTGCAGCCTTCCAGTACCTGAAGGGGCTACAAGGAAGCTGGGGGGGACTTTTTACAAGGGCCTGTAGTGACAGGGCAAGGGGGCATGGGGTTTAACTGAAAGTGAGGAGGTTTAGATTGGATATCAGGAAGAAGTTCTTTAAGGAAAGGGTGGTGAGGCACTGGAACAGGTTGCCCAGAGGAGCTGTGGATGCCCCATCCCTGGAAGTGTTCAAGGCCAGGCTGGATGAGGCTTTGAGCAACCTCGTCGAGTGGAAGGTGGCCCTGCCCATGGCAGGGGGTGGTCTTTAATGTCCCTTCCAACCCAAACCATTCTATGATTCTGTGATAAATGGGTCTTGGCACTTCAGTGCCTCCACCACCCAGAATGATAGCTGACATTGTTCTCTTTGGTCACATTAATGTTATATTGTTTCTTCTTCTTTCTTAGTGTATATTTTTATTTATAATTTCCCCCTTGTCTAAGATTCTGGAATAGGAACAATCCTATAGACATTGCAAGTTTCTGGGCCTGCAGAAAAAGCATTTATTAGTGGTCTTTGGTCATACTTGATCTCCTGTTGATGCAGGGGCTGCTGCACTGGCTGAAGGGCCACATTACCCCAGCTGCCCTTCTTCTGAGGGGAGGAAATGGGGAGAAACCATGGTATGGTTATCTGTTGGCAAACTCCTAATCTGCTATGCTGAGAGATGAATAAGTACGCCGCAACCATTAATTTCTTCTGTGTCATTTTGCAGGAGCTCTAGGAAGAGATCACCTGAAAAATACTGATTTGCCTTTTGGTCTTTCGGTGACCGTTGTTGAGAATTGTTCTTACGTACAGGAGAGTGATATTTGAGCAAATGAACTGTTGGATAATTGGCAAGAGACATTTAAGCAAATGTTTTCCTTTTTTTAAACTGAGCAAATCTAATATAAAACACATTTTTGAGGGTGTTAAGAAAATCTCCTTGATTTGAACTTGAAATAGGTATGCGTGACATTTAAGAATCAGTTTGATAAAGATGTATTTCTGACTTGTTAGCAAGAACCATTTCTTCAGATATGCTCAGATATGCTTTTGTTATGGTGCCATTTTGTCTCTGGCTGCTAATGCCTGAGATAATATTAAGTTTTGACTATTTACTGCAACAGAATTCCTTCAAAGATGAAATACCTGATTTTTTAAAAAAAAGTATACCCAAATGTACTCTTTTAGTGTAAGAACATTTTTTAGTCTAGTTTGAATTTGACTGTTTCTAGAAACTATAGAACACGTGAGGGGTTTTTTAACTCGGTAATTCTCACTACGCATCTAGGAGAATTATCTACCATTTATGCATCCACAGGTGTCTTTCATCTTAGAACGTTTCTCCTGCAGTGTTGTCTTCCTAAGATTCTTTGCAAAAAGTGTAATTTTTTTGGTAAGATTTCCCTGTCAGGGAAGTCTTAAACACTTAGGTTGGCCTGCTGCAGCACGGGAGTTTTGGAGGGGGTGGGAGGGTTCAACTCTTAGAAATCTGTAGGTGAAGCTTAGTTGATGATGTGTGAGCTAATGGAGGAAAATTGCAGAACAGTGGTATGTGGTTGAGTCTTCAGCAAAAGATGCTTCAACACGAATGTTTGATATTTTGGGGCTGCACTCTGCCAGGCGTTTACTTTTCAGATAACTGTTTCAGTACTACTTGTGCCCTTAAATCCTTGTAGGTATTCAATTTATTTCTCCAAACACAGATATTTAATTTTAAGAAGATCCTTTCAGCTATCTACATGTAGAACCCCAATTCCTGGGCCTTGCCCCCATCTTCCACCCCATGGGTCGAGCTCTTGTTTAGGGAAAATCAGATTTCTACTGTATGGATTTTTGCCTTAGGCACTTCTATGAAATGGTGCAGTACTCCAGCTTGTCTTTGTGAGGGTGGTTTTTCTGAGAATTACTTTCACTTTAAGGCACTTTTGTCTGAACATACTTCAGTTAAGGTTTAGAAAAAAAGCTGTGATGGGTGAGGAGTATTTTCCTCCTAAGAAATAAATGTGTTATTCTTGGCTATAAATCATGTTTCTAAGTGACGTGTTCAGTCTTTTGCACTTCGCTGTTTTTATGTTCAGTGCTAAAGGAAATTTATATTCCTTTCATGGAAAGCAACAGTTAAAAATGTAGTATACATCTTGTAATTCATTGTAGATCTTGTGAGACAGTGTTTTGAAACAGGTTTTATTTCAACCTGGTACCTCAGCTTTGTTAAGTAAGGTACTAAAATACAATAAATGAAGTGCTGTGGTAATTGTGCCAGTAGAAACTTTGAGACAGTTATATAATTATACATCAAAATAAGTTCTAGAAGGCTGTAACTTTTTTCTTCTATAACTGTGCAGAGTTTTAGATTCCCTCTGAAATGCTACGGATGAAAGGATACTGCTGCCTTCCCACTCCTGCCATGATTTTTGCTTTCTTACCTGAGAAGGTTAATTTTGTTTTTCAGTTTTCAGGTTAGAAGTATCTAGATCTATCTGCTAATCTAGATTAAAGATTCTAATACCTATATTTTTCTGTGCTGTTGGTTCTGTTTAGTTTTATCATCAGTCAGTAACAGCTACAAATAACATCGTTCAACGTTTCCAGCAAAAAATGCTTACCTTTTTCTTTGTTTGTGGCTTCTGTTTAGCCTCACACAAATGCGGTTGCATATGGCGAAACATGTTGTAGCTCCTATATAGTACTTGTTCCATTTTTAACTGGCCATGGGTGTCAGCAGTTCGTATTGCTGAGTCTTAACTCTAGTGTTGCCAGCAC